ACATGAGGTAACTGAAAACCAATGTAAACACTGCCTCCTAAAACGGAACAATCACTTCCATTCATTCAAGTCAACTTCAAATGAACCCAAAGCTTGACCCTAAAGTGACGCTAGTTAATTTACACGCTTAAGTTGCCACCCTCTTTATATAATTAAAACACGATCAGAGACTCTGAGAAAGCTGACTAAATACAACAGCATGTAAAATGTGAAACTATATAATTTCTGCCTTTCGGTTGCTTTCGTCTTGTTCTCTGTTGTTTACATTCCTGAGCCGTGTTCAACGCACAAGGATCCTCCCCCTTCTTGTGTGGGCTCACAGTTTGTACGTGAGTGTGTGTGTGTGCGTCTGGATGCACACACACAGCATGTGTCCTGACATGTGGATGACATAAACAGTGGGCCAAAGTGTGTGAGGGAATAACTTTACTCAATGGTTATTGTGTTTTCTGCTTGGAGATCAATTAGATGACTTCATACTATTCTACACTGACCTTACAGTAAAATCCACACTACTCTGTGCCCCCCTCACCTCTGTGACATCTCCCCCCCATACCTCCCCTGTCTCCCCTCTCCCACACAGTTTCAGTCTGCACTGTGTATATACCTTCATCCTTCTTTCCCCTCTCACCCTCCCCTCACTCCCTCTTTTTCTTTGACTCCTCTGATTGCTAGCGTATGTTGGCTGGCTGGCTGGCTAGAGTGGGGGAAGTGGTGGGGAGGAGTAAGGAGGGAGACGGGGAAAGGGAAAGAGAAGGAGAGAGAGCGACAGAGAGAGAGAGAGAGAGAGAGAGAGAGAGAGAGAAGGGGGAAGGGACTGTGCCCTCTCATGCAGAGAGTCACATGGTGTCCCTGATTGGAGGAAAATGAGTAAAGACTGCAGCTCTGGCTGAAATGGCAACAGACAAAAACGCACAAAGGCTGAGCTGTTTAAAAACGGGTTGCACAACAAGAGAGCCTGGAGAGGAGGAGGAGGGTGTGACAGAGGGGAAGAGAGAGGGAGTGAGCAGACACCGAGGAAAGATGTGGATTAAGGGGGGAAGAGGAGGAGGAGGAGGAAGCAGGAGAAAGGAGGGAGAAGAGGTGATGGAGGGGGGGGGGCAGAGTGCAGAAGAGCCAAGAAAAGAGAAGCAAGTAGGAGATGAACACTGTAGGAGAGGGAGGGAGATGGAGTGGGTGAGACAGAGTGAGAGAGAGAGATCAGACTGTGTTTCTATGTTTTCTGCAAGGCTGAGCGGTGACGTGATTGGCTGAGGGTGTGTGGGGTGGGGGGGCAGACCTGACTCTGAGATCAGAGACAGACAAAATGGCTCCCAGAGAACAGAGAACGCAGCATCAGGGCACTGTCATCTCCACTCACACAGCTGCCAGCTGACACCAGCCGCCGCCACACACACTCTCGCGCACATCTGTCACACACACACTTAAATCTAAGCTACCTGCAAAATGCCAGGGAGAAAAGGGGGTGGCGGTGTTGGGGGGGGGGAGTGCAACAGTGAAGATGATGGATAATAATATAGATCATTAAGTTACTACAGCACATGCATGATTCTTTTGACACTTAAAGTAACACACTCATATAATATATTTCAATGCCAAACTGGCTCACGGCTGAGCCTTTTCCTGATTTAATCCCTTCACCTCTTGGCCTGTTATAACATGTGACGCACTTGCCGCTGAACTTCCCAGGTTGCAGTGTGTCTGTGTTTGCCTGCCAGAAAGATCCTGAGTAGGGAATTCACCCAGTGAGTGAGAAAAAAAAACAAAACTGTAGGGCAGCATGAAAACAAAGACACTGGCTCATTGTGGCCACGAGAGGGCGCTGCTATCAAAGGACAAGCTGCAGATTGTAGGTCAGTCCGAATTTTCCACAGTGATTTCTCCTGACTGTAAAGCAGATGAATGAGTGATGGATCTCTGCTGAGCAACAGCAGATCCATTTATATTCAGTGTCGCTTGTTTTGATTGTCGCACTTTTGTTTTCTCTTGCAAATGAGACGCATCAATAACAATTTCCCGTCTGACAGTTGAGCTGTAGGGTGCAAGAGATTCAGATCGTTTAAGTAAAAGCAGTCAAGTCCTTTCAAAGTAAAGGTCCTCACTAAAAAAAAAATTACTTATAGTATTTAAAAACTATTTATTTTCCCGAACAAAATATCAATAGTCCCTGTGTTAAGCTTCATTATTTTGGACAGGGGACATTAACATTATCTATGATTTAATAGAGTGAGAAATTAATAATGTATTAATATTAATCCCATTACACATTTTTTTTAATTAAATAATTTTCTGAATGGATAAAATAAGCTTACTCAAGCTTTGAGCTTTACAATATCTTTTTTATTATCTAAATCTGAACACAGAGGGAGAAAAATAAGACCCAGTTGGGACTTAAGCACCACTGAAATTAGTTTAATATCACTGTTTTGCACAGACTAGCTGACAAACTCAGCAGTATTAGTATTACATGAGGTTGGAGGGATAAAATTCTTATAAATAAGACCATTTGATACTGGTTCTTAAATGTAAGGGGTTTCAACTTCTATCCCTGATTGTTATTACCTATATTGCTTTTCTGTACACGCACGTACACACACACACCGTTTTTGGGGTCTCCTGTGATTTAAATACATAAGTCAAAATTACTTATCTTTAGACAGTTATTTCTAACTTTTGATTCCAGTGGTTGTTCATGTAAAGAAAGATTACAAAAACACCCAACAAGATATAGTAAAGCTGTTTTGTGATTAAAATTCTAGAGTGAGGCTACCTGTGCACATCTTTGACCAGGTGATATAGAAGCAGAACCTGATGTTTGTATTATCTTGAACTGATGTTAAAAAAATCCTCCAAACATTAAACATATTCAGTGAGCAGCAGTTCTTTGCCCTGATAAATATTAGGAGAATGGACAGAAGGGTTCAAGCTGATATGAATGCAACAGTAACTCAAATAGTTGCTTATTACAACCAAAGAATGACAAAGAGTATCACTGAATGCACAACACGCCAAACTTTGAAGCAGGTGAGCTACAGCAGCAGAAAACCTATTCCTGTCAGATGAGGATAGGAAATCTGAGGCTTTGATTTGGACAAATTGACCAAAATGGGACAATACAAGATTGGAAAAACATTGCCTCCGTTTCTGCTGCAACAACAAGCAACATGAAAGCATGGATCCACCCTGCCTTTTACCAACAATTCAGACTGCTACTGGTGGTGTAATATGTGGGACATATTTTCTTGGCACACTTTGTCCCCCTTACTAGCAGCTGAGCATTGTTTAAATGCCACAGCCTACCATCTCCATCCCTTTATGACCACAGTCTACCCATCTTCTGATCGCTGCTCCCAGTAGGATATCATCCCATGTCACAAAGTCAAATCATCTTATAGTGGTTTCTTGATCATAACAATGAGTTCACTGTACTCTAATGTGCTCCACAGTCATAGAATCGAAATCCAACAGAGCACTTTTGGGATGTGGTGCAACAGGAGATTCACATTATGGACGTGCAGCAAATGTGTTATCATATCAATATGGACCAAAATCTCAGAAGAATGTTTCCAGCACCTTGTTGAATCTGTGCCATAAAGAATTGAAGCAGTTCTGAAGGGAAAAGGGGGTCCAACCTAGTACTAGCAAGGTGTGCCCAACAAACTGTCTGAGCAGTGTATATTGCACAAGATACTTGTATCCCACTAAAGCAACGGCACACTATAACAGTGTGGCAAAAACTCTCTGACAGTAGACTGCTATTAATCTCACATTATTGTCATATTGTCCAACTTTGCCCTCATGTTATAACTAAGTACAACTCTTGAGATTAGGAATCTCTTTTGTGAGTGTGTCCTGGGCCCAGATGGGATGCTGTTCAGTGGCAGAAGTAACTAGAGAAAACCTTCCCAGGCTGAGGGAGATCATTTGAACTCCACAAAGAAATCCTCTTGCTGTGAGCCACCATGCTGCTAATTAATGTGAATGCTACTTTCTTCTGTTGTACGTTTCTCTGTTGAGATAAGACATTTTGCTTTAACCCTAAACCTTGAGTCCATTAAAATAACTACAGCTGAAGTTCTGCGTCAGTTAAGTGTCTGCAGCTCTTCTGGCTCACAGTCTCTTTGATCTAAAGCTGGCCACTGTTAGAGCTCATTCCTCCAAAAAGTGGCAGCTTGTCTTTTGGATCTTTTATCAGAGCTGAATCAGACAGAGAGATCTCTGTCCCCCCCCCATCTGATCCAATAAAGGAGTAAAGAGGCCTGAGCTGCCAAATGTATCAAATCTGGCAGGCAGACACCAGTGAAACGAGCCCCAGAGACATGTAGCTAGCTTCCGTGTGGACAGTGTGTGCCACTGATGTGTCTAAAGTACTTATTTAATATTGTGAAGTGGGAAAAGTCGAGAAACAGTAGGCATGCTTTTAGCTTTGGGAAAGAAATGCAGTGAATGCTATCTATGAAAAGAGGAGTGGTTCTGTTTTCATTCCTGTTTGGGGAAAAAACGGAAAAAACAGCACTTAACTGATGTCACTCATTCTCCAGTTGGAACTCATCTTTGAGCTGGGATCAGCTCGGTCAGGGCTTTTTCTGCAGTCAAACTGACACAAAACTGTCCTGAGATCAGTGCTTAGGATTGTGCTGAAGGGAGGCTGGCGGGAATGGTTCTTATCAGAACTCTGGCAGATGCATGTGCAGTTGAGTTTCCTGTGGACTAGTAAGTGGAAGTGGCACATTGCACACATTTGCACATGTGCACGATAGCATGCACGCACACACATGCACATGCGAGGCAGACACACACACACACAGACTGTAGGCATCCTCCTTCCCCCTCCTCGTGCCCCTGAGCCTGACAGTCTGGACATGGAAGATATCAGAGAGTGGGAGAGGCATGAAAACACAGACTCAGGCTCTGAGTTAGATCAGTGTGTAGCCGTGAAAGTGCATTTGTAGGTGACAAAATGGCGATGTCAGAACAGCTAGAGTCTGAAGGAGGTAAGTCTGTCTTGCTGACCTTTTCCTTTTTGCCTTTCTCACAGCTGACGAGGTAACAAAAACCTCTGAGGTCAAATAAAACGGTCGAAAAGAAGAATTTCTGATTTGTCTTTTATTTAAAAGCAAGAACTAGTACAGCATATTTATACCAAAATGCTGTACAAGTTCAGTCTCTTACTCTCTTTTTATTGACTTTAACAAAGGTCAATTTAAACAGGTTGCACTTGTGGGTTTAAAGTGTAGGCTTAGTGAAAACACCATGTGTGTCCGCTTTGAGCACTTATTATACATGGCTTTATGGCTTTAGGTGTGAATGTTTAACTGCAGGAAAATGAGGCAAGCTGACGAAGCGAGGGTTGGGCAGATCTGTGTGAGTGTACCCGTGTGCCTCACTGGTTGGGGTGCTGGTTGAAGATAAGGCTGTCCCTATGCCTGAGAGCAAAGGAGATGGTGTGTGTAAGCCCTTCAAGCCTTATCCTGACACACCTCCCACCCCCACCTCCTCTCCAACACCCCACCACACACACATGCACTGGGGATTAACCCCGTCATGTACCATTTCAATGGGTGAGCTTGGGGAGACACACACACACACACACACACACACACACACACACAGGATTAACCCTTGTGTGTCCATTTCCATGGATGTTTCTTAGCCTCTCTCTCTGGTTGTGTCAGCAATGATTGCTCATGTTGCCATAGTGACAGGGGCCAGCCAATGTAAGATAGGCAAATCCACATAAGTCACCCACAACAGACACTCTTAGCTACAACAGACTACACCTCCCCCTGGTACTAGACACACAAAGATGCTGCCAAAGGACTGACAGCAGCCTCGTGAGCTGTGAAGAGCTCATGTCACAGGCTTACCATGGTCAAACCAATATACATAAAGTCAGCCCGGGCATCTTTGTTGCTGGTCGGGTGAGAGACAGGCCTTATAGAGGCTTATCCTCTCTACATGCCTGGCTCTGGGAGACAGTGCACTTCACCATACTCTGGATTTCATACATCAGAGTCTACAAAGAGGTTCATATTTGAGTTGCTGTCTTCATTTTGGGCATATAAGAGCAGCAGATCCCGGTGGGATAGATGTCCAACAAACAGATCCATCACTTGAAAAACATATACAAGTATTTTAAATGTATAAATGGAAAAAAGCATAAAAATAAAAATACAATAAAATGTATTACACCTAGATTCAGTGTATCAAAATGCCTGCATGAATTAAAAAAATATAACATAGTAATAATAGTAAAAAAAAATCTGGATGAAAATGTGAGAATAATGTTTTAAAAAATGTGCAAAAATTGCATCTTTACTTATATCTACTGCACACATTTAAATGACTTATAAGTAACTGAGAATTAGATTATTGCATTAAAACTATCATGTATTTATATCATGTGTACAATGTAATAAAGAATCATGGAGCAACATGTATACGGGCACACAAACTGCATACCACTGCAAATACACCCCAGTGCAAGTCTGGTTCAGGATAAAATATTACACCATCAGAACAACAAATGGGATTTTAAATATCAGACAAAGGCAGCAAGTCATAACCCACTGAAATAACTTGTTTAACTGATGCTTGAAGTTTAAATTGTTCTGCATACCAAAATGTGTAAAAATAAACTTTAAAAAAAAATCACATTTCTACTCATGTCCGCTTTGGTGTATATATTTCCAGTCATTTATATGTGTTATCTATAGTGCAGTTAAAAGGTGAAGATGAATGTAATATTAATAATGATGATGATAATAATAATAATAACGACGCTGATGATAAATGTTATTATAATGTTGCAATAATGTCATATTACTGATCAGCACCAGTGTTTAGTCTCACTCCCTCTGTGAAGACCTGTTTACTGAGCAGCTCGCAACAGCGGCTTAATTTATGAATAAATCATTTATGAAACATTGTTTTCACTCCCAGTGTGCATGGGTGGTGTATTAATGAGAACCGTGTTCGTGCTGGTGGCTGTAACAACCTAAAGAGTGCAGCAGGAAGGGAAAGTTCTTTAGTGGGTGAAAGGAAACTACTTTACATCCTCGATATGGGATAATCTGTCTTTTCTGTCCTTTGGGGTTAGATGCTGTAGATCAAATAGTTTGCGTGTTAGATATGACGCTTGCATAAATATGGAAAAATTGCTGTCCTAATACTGCTTGTTCTTTTTATATCACAACTTTGGACATATGGGTGAGATCTCTGCTGGCTGTGATCTGAATATCTGATTATTATTTGAGGCGATTTAAGCAGATTTAGAAGCCTGTGGGATTCTCCTTTTGGCTTAGTGCTTTGTGTGTGTGCGTGGATCTGTGTGTGTGTGCGCGCAGACTCAGAGAGGAAAAGAGGGTATAGAGATTCCTGATGTTAGGGGATTTACTCGTCCACCTTGGGCAGTTAAGCATACAAACTGAAAGGCAGAATTAACTGACAAACTTATTCTGCTGTCTTTAAGTGTAAATTTATAAGATCTTGGTGTACTTTTGACCAATGGGACTGCTCCACTGCAAATGTATGTGCATCACGTTTGCATCCTGCTTGGGCCCAGGGACTTGGTTGTCACTGCCTCAGCTCAAGCTGATTGCAGCAAGCCTATGTTCACTAATTAGGTAAACATGACAGCCACTTTGCAGTCAGCATGATCTTTGTCTCCACGCTCATCTCCACTGAGTTGCATTAGGACAATTCTCATCTGTGTCAGTTACAAGGAAGGGATATGGGATGCAGGGAGGAGGAAGGGAAAAATGCTTACCAGACAACCTTTATGTGCAGTTGTGCATTAGTGGGGGAGGAGGAGCAGAAGTGGGAGAGGGCGGCTGGCGGTGCTGGGCAGAGGAGAGAGGAGCAAATGCATTGCAGAGGGAGAGGAGGAGGAGGGCCTACAGCTATTGTTCATGTCCTCCCGTGAACAAAGGGCTCATCGGGGTCCATATGTAAACCCACAGCAGGCTTCAGCCCACTGACAAGGCCTCATGCGGGACAAAACATAACCGACCGACTCCCGCAATTTAGGCCTTATTCCGTTTGGAGGAGATTTTTTTATTGATCCAATTCAAAGGGACGTATTGTGTGGGTACGTTGCGTCCAGCCAACCGCCGTCCAGCGGGCCTATCCGTTTTTACGCACGGAGCGTACACACGGTCTATCAGCACGGATCTGTAAACATCAATTTTCTGATTGGACTTCTTTGCAGGTAAAGGGTCGCCTTTCCCCCAAACACACTACTCGACTCTAACGTTTAGCTTTTTTAGCGTTTACAGTTGGTGTAGGAACTGCCGCCGGTGTAATTGCTCCTCTTTTTGAGTGCTTTTTCGTTGCGAAGGGATTTAACGCTAAGGCGTTAGCAGGAAGGCTAAAACCAGCTAACTGGTTACAAACAGTTTTCTGGCTAGCTGACGTTAGCCTACCCTGCAGGCCTACGAGGCAGTGTTGTACACAGTCACCGTCGCTGTGGTTGAGGGGATCGGGATTATGTATTGTGTCTTGTTTGTTCACATAAATGTATTGCTTTTCGGATTATTATTGTTTGGCGTTTTGTTGTTAAGCTCGCTCGAGTCCCGAAATAAATTTAGCCTAGCTAGCAACTATATGCTAGCTTGGTGCCATTCTAATTGCCTTTGTAGCAACTCTACATCCAATCTTCTTTAGCAGTTAAATTTATGAAGCATAGATGCCGAAATAACCTAAACCGGTGTCACTTTACGTTCAAAGTTTAACAATGTGGTTCAGGTTTATCCGGCTCACAAATTCCGTTTGGATACTTGTCCCTTATCTTGTCCCTTGTACCAATCATGGTGGCAGTCTTGAGTGGCAGGAGTGCACAACCACGACAGGTTATATCCCCATTTAGAGGAGACTTGATGTTGTGATGTTGGGTGGATTTTTGGCGGCTGAGCATGAAGAAAAGTCAATAGTTGAGTGTTTTTTGGCATCCGTGCCAGTTTGACAGATGATCTGCTCTAAAAGTTTCTGTCCACAAGCAGATGTGTGTATGTTTAATGTGTATGTTTCTGTCGACATTGTGTACTGTGTGCTTGTAAAAGAGAGGAACACGATTCCCAGTGGAGGAAGTGGAGTCCAGCTGATGTGATTGTGACTGCCTGTCATTAACCGCTAACGGGAGAGGAGAGGAGCTAATGGAGCTCTCAACAACTAATGGACACACAAAGAATCGATTATTTATTTATTTATCAGTCTTCTGGTGGTGCATCTAGCCCATAGCATAGTGTTGCACATAGTAAACAGCTTGTTTTTAACTCGATTTGAAGCCAGGGTTTCAAATAGATGAGTGTTTTATTGCCTTTTCTTTTTAACTTTTTAGAAAGATGGAAATGTTTTATGGCTCTATACTCTTTACGGAAAACTTTTTTATTAATTTACCTCTGGGTCTGTAAAAGCTGTGATCGCTGCTGTTATTCACAACATATTTGAATGCAATTCCTCCTTTCACTAGAATGGATTTCATAAGGATGCATAGATTAGTGATTTATAGGAACAACATCCTAATGTGTGTGACTTTAAAGGTTAGGCAGCCTCTGTCTGCCCACCTCACCACAGTGTGTCTGCAGATATGTGTTATGAAGTGTTACTAGTACTTTTTACTGCTTTAACTGTTTACTATACATCTTACGTCACTGTGTTCTTATTTCATAACAAACTTTCCTCTGAGACAAGTCCCCCTCTTTGGTTATATCTTTCCTTCAGACATACAGTGACATAAATATGTTTAATATGCAGAGACACCACAGAGAAATATGAAGGAGGTGGGGCTTCACCATGGTGACGCAGAGGTCGTGACCCAGAGGCCGCCACGCCTGGATGGCCTTTATAAGAGAGCCAGGCAATTAGAGTAGAACAGGGACTGGATCTTTATGTGTGTGTGTCAGTGTCATCAGTATGTTTTCTCTTGTGTTTGGGGTTCCTTCTGACTTACTGTTTAGTACTTCATGGTAAGGCATCAGTTTCTATGGTAGTGCTGCATGAGGCTTCTTCCATTGTGTTGTTTTATATTTTAATGCCCCAAAAATGAGCCATTCAGGGAAGACCATGGAATGAGTGCAGTTAAAACTGGACCATACTGGTTATTTCAGGCTGATTAGGCATCAGAGGTGTAACAGTTCTCCACTTTTTACTTTGGTTTTCAAAAAAAACAATTTTTAGCACAGGTCCAGTTATTCAATCATGATTGGATCATGGACCAAAAAAGAAACTATGTATTTATGTGTCGCCGCTTCAGTTTTTAGCCAGATAATCTTTAAACCTGACAACTTTACCATACTAGCATGCTTCAAGTAGGTAAGGCAAGATCTGATGCCGTATCGTGGGCCTTTGCATCTTTTCAATCTCAGTATTACAGATTCGTACAGCCCTGTTCGACATCATCATCTTTGGTTTTGTTGTTTTTTTTTCCATAACCTCAGCTTTATCAATATTGAAAAGTTTACTTTTTTTTCCAGTTAATAAATTTTTTATCTTTATCTTTTGTGTCTAAATTTGGCATGCTTACTATACACACGTCATGTTCTCCGTCAGGTCACAAGTTTTCATCTGCCATAAGTTAAATATAATAATATATATTACAAATATATACGTCACTTCTATTCCAGGCTGTTCCTCCAAGTCGTTCAAGCTGTACTCCCCCAAGGAGCCCCCCAACGGTAGCACTTTCCCCCCTTTCCACCCCGGCACCATGCTGGACAGAGACGTGGGGTGAGTTTCATTTCTGTGCTGTGTTTGTAAAGCTTGCCAAAAATTAGTCTAGCTGACTGCTTATGGGGCCAACTGTGTTGTTTTTAAAGTATGTTTTCTGTTAGCTGTCAAATGTTTTTCAAATGCTTCTGTGCATTCAAACTGTTGTCGCAAAGTTTTTGCAGTGCGTTTACAATAACCTTACAAGTTATCGACTTAAGTAGCATTATCCTCACTTTAGCTGTCTCAGCTCCGCTCTACAAACACGGCGAAGGAAATCTTGTATCTTTGCATAATTACTTTAAGCCTTTAATTTAAAATCAAACCAACAGATAGAAATCCTCCTCAGTCTGTTTTCCCACGTTTTGTGAGGGATCAGTGAAGCCACTCAATGCTTGCACATTCATTTCAAAGTGTGTAGAGAGATGAGCACATGCAGTAGGTGTGACTGTGAGCACATCAGTGTTGCAAGAGTGTGTTATATTAGAGTGAAGCGTGAATTTTCCTGGGAAATTTTAGTTCAATATTTATTTAATCCGTCCATTTTTATTAGTTACTTATGGCACTTACGGGCGAGGGGGCACAGCCTATCCCAGCGGAAATGGTCAATCACATAGCAACACAGAGACATGACACACTCACGTCCCCATCTATGGCCAATTTAGTCTCTCCAATTACTGTAACATTCGTGTCTTTGGTCTCTGGGAGGAAGCCGGAGTACTCAGAGAGAACGCACACAGGGATTGGGAGAACATGCAAACCTCAATTAATAATTGAATGCATTATGCTTTAAAAAATGCATCAAGCCTTGAGATCATCTATTGGCATAATAATGTAATAACTGAGTGATGCTACCTTCCAGTATCAGATCCTAAATATAAGCCGTTTTTCAAAGTGTTGCATACGTTGTACAATATTACCATGCACTGGTAAAACACCTTTAATATATGAAGGTTTATTCCTTGTATTTAAGTAAAGGGGGCCCCGCTGATCTTCTGTCATTGAGTGAACATTTGCATCAGTACTGCTGTAATCCAGAGTAGAAAAATGTTATTCATTCATCGTTTACACCACGAATTATAAAGGCAATTACCTGCTGAGCTACTGTGAGCAATGTTTAAACTGTTAACTGCTGTATGAGGTGAAAATTTACAGCCAAAAAATTGCATTGAATTGTGTAGCTCAGTAAAGTTGGAGAATATCGTTGTTTTTTTAAAATTTTGGTTGTTTTTCCACCCGTTGTCATTTTGCAATAAATAAATAAATGAATCGGCTGCAGTTGTTGATTGTGTCTGTGCATTTGAGAATTGATATTTACCGTCTCATCCAATTTTTGCCATGTTTGGCTCATGTCCCGGGGTTGTAAAGGCAGACTAGCTCCTTGAGGAGAGCATATTAGCACTATAGCTGAATGTAATAATGTCTCTGTCTCCTGTTTCTCTACAGCCCCACTCCAATGTACCCTCCCACATACCTGGAGCCAGGAATAGGGTAAGACTACATTGTTTCCCATTATTCCAGGCAGGTTTAAAAACCGTAGTAATACAAATACAGATACGATTGTGAGATTTTTTTCCCCCCTTCTCTTAATTGCCTAGAGATCTTGCAGTAAGACTGTAAACCTCAACTGGGTTAAACCCTGCTAAATCTAAAGAGTCTATGAGAGCTGTAACCCTACTGCATTTTGATGACTGTCAGCTTTTGTGTTCTTTTCAATTTGTTTCTTCCAGGAGGCACACACCATATGGCAACCAGACAGACTACAGAATATATGAGCTCAACAAACGACTACAGAACTGGACAGAGGTTTGTGTGCATACACAGCCACATACATGGATGCTAAACGCCCCCAAAAAGGTGTTTAATGGATAACTTTCTCCTCTCTACAACGTAGGAGTGTGACAACCTGTGGTGGGATGCATTTACTACAGAGTTCTTTGAGGACGATGCCATGCTGACCATTACTTTCTGTCTGGAAGATGGACCCAAACGTTACAGTAGGGAGCTGTTTGAATGACACAAATCAGATTCAGATTTTCAGAATCAGATTTTTCAGATTCCGATTTCTTCTTACAGCAATTGGCCGGACGTTAATCCCGAGGTACTTCCGGAGTATATTTGAGGGCGGTGCCACTGAGCTCTACTATGTACTGAAACATCCCAAGGAGTCCTTCCACAATAACTTTGTCTCCCTCGACTGTGATCAGTGCACTATGGTCACACAGAATGGAAAACCCATGTTCACACAGGTGTGTATGTGCAGGGGATGTCTGTGGAGGTATTGGGGACAAATACAGCTGGTACTTCTAAAAACTGATATTTAAAGATGAAATTTCTGTCTATGTCCATCAGAGTAATTCTATTTCGAGACAAAAGTTGAAATATGGAGATTAAAGTTGTTTCAAGAAAAAGGGAGTCGGTGGAATCTTCATAATTAACTTTAGTAAAAAGGAAGGAAACAATTTCTCTTTTAGCACGTAGACGTCAAAAAGGTGGTGCAGGAAGCTGCAGCTGCAGAAGGAAAAATAAAAACACTCGGAAGAGTGGATTTGCACAAAATGTAATGGCTGGCAGTGGACAGATGCAAGGATATCAATAGTTCCACCCTCATCCAATAAAGTGGATGTATGTTGTATCACAAGACAGCTGATCAATTTGTTTCACCAACTCATCTAAATAAGGCATTTTGGAAAGGGTATAGAAATCTGTCTTGAAACAATAACTGTAATTGCCACATTTTGACTATTTCTCATCTTTAATCTCGAAATTTCAACTTTATTCTCAAAGTGATCAACATGTTTCTTTTCTTAATTTGGCCCTAATACTCAATAAGATGTAAATTTAGCTTCTCTCACTTTAAGGCACTTTTCATCTGATTGGCTGTCCATTACAAACAGCAGATTGGAGCATCTGAGTTTAGAGCCGTGTCCCTGAAATAAACGTATCAGGAATATTTCCTCTTATTAACATACAGATACATACGTTTAGAAATAAAATAAAAAAATAATAAAACCGATTGTGCAGATCAAAAACTGGTCGTCTCCTCGAGTTACCTGCATGCTACCACAGCATTAAGGACGTGGTTAGTTGCCGTTTTAATCAGATTTTATGAGTGTTTCGTGCATTCTGTCGTGCACAGAATCTCTGTCCCAGGCTCTCCGCAAGTGATTATTAACTTGGTTGACATTGCATTGATGATAGATGTGACCTTCTCTTTCCACCTCTCTCCAGTCTTATTTTGAGTATAATTACTGTCCCAAAAATGGAAGGCAACATGCAGCTTTGTTGATCATGAAGTCGGCTCATATCATTGTCCTTTTCTGCAGACAACGTAGGGATTTGTTTTACTCGTGTAGCGAGAATCTGATATTCTGCATAACAAGAATTATTTAAAAAAGTATTTTCGAAAAATTTCTTAATGAATTCCCTGTTGCAAAAAACACTGTAATCTTTAAATGTGTAAACATGTACCCACTCCTGCATAGATTCTATTCGTCTCTCTTCGGTTGTGTACTAACTCCAGTTCTCTGATCTTCTGCAGGTGTGTGTAGAAGGCCGCTTGTACCTGGAGTTCATGTTTGACGACATGATGAGGATAAAGACGTGGCACTTCAGTATCCGACAACACCGTGAACTCATTCCTCGTAGTATACTGGCCATGCATGTGAGTGAATGCAGAGGAAGTAGGAACCCACACCGGCACACGCTGTTTGCTAGCTTTCTAATCTCCTTTCCATATGTTCCAGGCCCAAGACTCTCAGATGCTGGACCAGCTGTCCAAAAACATAACAAGATGTGGCCTGTCGAACTCCACCCTCAACTACCTCCGAGTGAGTACAGTACATGTGCAACATTTGGATTTGGAAAAATGTTCTTTCCTTGTGTCTTGATCGTGGTCCAGATGTAATTTCGTAAGAAAACATTTCCATCTCTGAAAACTTTACAGGATGTTAAACAGTTAATTAGGGACATTGAGTAACCTGCCAAACAGCAGCATATGTTATATACAGCATCACTGAGTAGAGTGAGAAGACTGTTCAGAGCAGTTCCTGCTTTTAAAGCACTTTGAATGATTACGTTCTGGTTTATAAATGAATGTATAGCTTGTAGTCAAGGTGTGTACAAACTGGAGACTTTATTTTTGGACGCTTTACAGATCCTGTGGGGTGACAACCTACATAAGCACATTGTGTTCATGTACAGTAAAGATACAAGAATGGTTGAAATGGTTTATTACTAAAAACTGACCCTGTATGTAGAGCGTTTTTGACTAGTAGTGTCTCTGGAGAGCAGTGCTTTGCTTGAATCTCTTGTTTTACAAGCGTGAAGCTGCTGCTTGTTATATTATAAGTCATCATCTTGGCAACATTTTACCAGCATCTATGTCTGCATAATTTACATTTCATTCAACAGCTATTTCCCCATTTGCTTTTAAAAAAAGGCTCTTCATCCTCTGCCCGACTGTGCAAATAATCACAGCTGTTTATTAAATTTTGTGTGTGAGACATGAGAAAAATACTGCCTCTTTAGTTATTGGTGACATCCCCTTGCAGAACAGTAATGCTTTAAATGTTCTTGTATGCTTGACAAACAGGCCCAGTTGGATACTAGCAGGCTGTTTGTTTTTCTGCATCTGGCGTGCCTCTCATTTTAAACACAGCACGCAGCACCACCTCACATCCATGTGAAAATTGATTGGAACATGAGCTTTAGATGCCTCTGTAGTGATTAAGCCACTCTAACGTTGCCGCGAAGTGATAACAAATTGTTTTGCTTGATGTTTTATCCCATCGCATTGTCTGATCTCAAACTTTCAAGTCAACCAGTGATGTTAATAATGCTGAACACCAGCTGATAATGCTGGTAATAAATCAAGCGGAGCATCTCTAATTACCTTGAAAAATGGGTAATCACTAACCTGTGGCATCTCCTCTGTTCCTTCCTCTAGCTGTGTGTGATTTTGGAGCCCATGCAGGAGCTGATGTCCAGACACAAGACCTACAGCCTCAGCCCCAGAGACTGCCTCAAGACCTGTCTGTTCCAGAAATGGCAGAGGATGGTGGCACCACCTGGTAGGTGAACCGCATGATTAGATAGGACACGCAGACACGTTGATATGTGGTAACTGGATGTGTAACTTTCTCTCTTTATTCCTTATCTGTAGCTGAGCCATCAAGACAAGCCCCTAACAAACGGCGGAAGCGTAGGATGTCAGGCGGCAGCACCATCAGTGGAGGAGGAGGAACTAACAATAACAACAACAACAAAAAGAAGAGCCCTGGTAGTGGCTTCCCACTGTCCAGCCAAGTTCCGGTGAGTGCTCTGGTGCCATCTAGTGTCTATCATTTGAGCACACATTATCATTTTGCTCTTTGATAAACTGCTCCATGGATTTGCTAAGGAGAGTTCAGATAATCGTGGCAACAAAAAAGCGGGACTCAATAAACCAAAGTCATTCTGTGTACAAAAATATGAGGACTGACTCAGATTCTGTAACCCTAACTAAAACCCTAACTAAAACACAGTTGAAACGTCTTGTTACTGACTGAGCTAGTAGAAGTACAAATGTCACTTTTAAACCCTCTCATGTTTTTGCAAACACCTCATCAGGGTTCATTCTTGTTTTGTTTAACTGTAAGATAAACTTGTGCCATTTAATGCATTTTTAATATAGCCGGGAAAAGTTACTAATAGCAACCCAGGAAAATAAAAGCACTGTGCTATGACTTTTGGTTGAGTTCCATACTTTCATTTTCATGGTAGAAAATGTATTAATTTTCTTTAAATTCAGTTGTTGTCATTAGTCTATAGCCATTACTTTTGGAATTAACATTTTAGATGTTGCTTGACTGTAATCAGGTCAGAGCAAGTGTTTTAACAGTAAATACATCTTTATTATCAACAGCTGGTTGGTCAAAGTTCCTGCCAAAACTACAGCAGGTGCAAATGAGAGGCGGCTTTACAGGGGGGGATTCAGAGGCACTAAATGTATCGCTTGTATGATATAAAATCGTATGCCATCTGTTCTAAGATATTCATGTGGTCTGATTGTTGTGCTGTTTTGTAACTCCGTAGGATGTGATGGTGGTGGGAGAGCCCACTCTGATGGGAGGGGAGTTCGGCGACGAGGATGAGCGTCTGATAACACGGCTGGAGAACACACAGTTCGACGCTGCCAATGGCATAGATGACGAGGACAGCTTCAACAACTCTCCGGCGCTGGGCTCCAACTCGCCTTGGAACAACAAGGCTCCTTCCAGCCAGGAGAGCAAGAGCGACAACCCCACCTCACAGGCATCACAGTAGAGCCCAGAGCCCCGCATCCTCAACCTAACCCCTCCCTGTCACTCCTAGGCCCCCACCCCACCTCAATAGCCATGACTGCAACAGTAACAGTCCATCATCTGCTCTCCAATCCAAACACCACTGTAGCGCTCAGATTCAAGCACAGGTAGCCTGAGGGGGCTCGGACTGTTTTGCCGAGCTGGAGGAAGTTTCACAACTTCGATTATTGCGGTGACTTCCTGATAATTAGGCACTGTGTCCCACCTCTCGCTCCCTTTTCGTCATTTCATAGACAAAAAGTCCCATCTGCTCTTGCCAATTTTCAGTTTTGGATGGCAACCGGGTAGCACGAGTGATGATTTAGTCCAGGGGAGAACTGTGCACGCTAAAGTATCCATACTGAAGTTCACATGTAGGAACAGGTGGGGTGGAGGGGAAGGTGGCAGTTGGGCTTCAAGATGGTGGCGAGTCGCTTAGGGACGACTCGTCCACTCCTACGCTAAACATGCCTCTGGATTCTGGTCTGCTCTGCTGATGTGCGGGTCGCCCATAACGTTTGTTAATAGAGTGTGTGTGTGTGTGTGGATGTGCGCTTGCATGCGTGCGAGTGTGTGTTTGTGAAAGTTTTGAGAAGAGAAAAGCAGCAGCGTGAGTTTAATGGTGGCTTTGCTGAAGCAGATGGACCAGGATTTAGAATCGATATGTAAAACCATTTGAAATGAACACACTAATAAGAGAGGTGAAATGTGGCACTAGGGAAACATCAAACACACAGACGCGTGCGCGCACACACACAACCACACATAATGATCGAAGGATTTTGAGTCCCCCTAGTGCCCAAATATCTCTGATTAGACTACAGTGAATGCAGTCTTTCAAACAGAACATTGACAACACACACACATGCACAGTCTTACACACACACACACACACACAGTTACACATTTTAAGAGTTTTTATACAGTATATATTTCCCTAGAATGTTTTTTAATTTGTATTAAACGCCTTCATTTCAATTGTTACTTTTTTATTTTCTACCAATACTGAAAAAGCTACAGACCAAGGAGCAACACAGGACTTTTATCCCTTCCCCCTCTAAAATATATTGTTTTTATCTTTTATGTTTATAAAAGAGAAATACTTTAGTGTGGATGTTTTTATTTTGTCTTTTTGTTCCTTTTTTTTTTTTTTTCCTTTTGAGATTTGAATTTTTGTGTATTTGTGCTTGTATATTTAAGGTAGTAGCAAAGTTCTGTCTGACTGTAATAAAATGTATTCTTACTTAGATTTACCTAAAGCCATCCCAATCTAATGTAAAGAAACAAAAATAGGAAAAAGGAGAAAATTCATGAACCCGTCCCCTCTACCTTCCCACCTGCTCTCTTTCCTCCTCCCTCTTTTTTAAAAATGTAAATTACAACTCCCCCTGGGGGTACAATGCCACCATAGAGAGATGGTTTTACTGTTTATTTTCTTTAATTTATTCAGAAATTCAGTCATGTATTCATCTATACAGAAAGTGATTTTTTTTTTTCACTTAACATTCACAATTTTGTGTATTACAACTTGATGTCAAGTGAATGTGCTCGCTGAACTTTAGTTATCCGGTGACTTTCATGTTTCGTCACTGGCTAAACAGATTTTTTGTTTTAAGAAGTTTTCTGTCTAAATTGTCTTTATTTGTATTCATAACCAGAATCATACACATCTTCTTAAACCAGCCTCACATTGAGTTCAGTCTGCATATTTGGTAGCAATGCTGAGTCTGTAAAGTCTAATAAATGAACAGCTGAAGCTCTGTCATTGTTTTGTACATTTCCATTTTGTTACTGTTGAATCCAGCAGCAGTTATGACTGAGTTTGAATGGTGACTTGTACCTTCTCCAGACCCTGTAGGAAAATCATTGTTTGATATATATTTTTTTGATTTGGTTAGTTTCTGCCCTTGATAATTAATGTATGGTACCAATAAAAAGATACATTTTCACTTTAAAAAGCTTCGTTGTAGTTGATTGTACTAAATTTTACACTCAAAGCTTATTTAAGCCAACACTGTTTTTTAGTTGCATGTTGTGTCCTTTTGACTTACATAATTTTAAACAACATTATGTAGTGAATATTTGGCAAACACAAAACAGCTTAAACCCTGTTGCATATCTGGTTACTGTTTATTGAAAGCTTATTTTTGGATAAAACTTACACACTTTACTTTGTGTGTTACATAGACTGATCTGCTTTCATCTCAAGACAAGTGAGACCATATAAGTTAAAAAGCATAAGAAAATGACTCATCAAACACATGATTAACTGCCTGGTTTAGGAAAAAGTGCAGTTACAGCAATATGTTTCATATTTTCCGCTTTCGATCACAACTCGAAGACTAAGCGGCATTAGATTGTTGTAAAAAAAAATGCACTGGAAAAAAACAACAATGCCCTTTTGTGCAAGATTACTATTTTAAAAAACTAGAGGCCCTAACTGGACACTTTATTGGGTAGGTTCTCTGGTATATCACGTTATGTAACTTTATGTTAAATTACCTAAATTACCTAGAACCTGGAGTATGTCCTCTCTGGAAGTCCATAAAAATGCACCTTCTTGAATTCCACATAGGAGGTGTTGATACTCTGGGTTTCCTTCATGTAAACTGCCTTTAACAGCCTCTCTACATGTTTAGTATGCTGTTTACTTTTGTGGCGCAAGAATAAAAAAATAATTTAGGAACGGTAGCAAATTTTTTTTTGTAGTTGTCAATGTTAAAAACCCTCCAAATCTTCAGAAGATTATTTTGCATTAGTGAAACATCTCAAAAACAAAACAAACAAAAGCAATGGTTTTGAGTTTTCTGCATACAACAATCATGAACCCGTCCTCTCTACCTTCATACAGTAGCCATAGATGCCCGGGGTGAAAAACAGAAAGCGTTGATGACAAATATTTTTGTTGCTCTCCAGGCTGTTTCTTCGGTAGTTTATGAATTATAGTACATCCCTCTGTTTTTTCTGAAACAGACCCTTTAGAGTGCAGCTCCTGTTCTAGAAGTCAGTGTGAATTTGTCTGTCTCACAGGCTTGAAGCTGTCCTTCTGGGTGTCCAAAGCCTGCAGGTATTCTGCCCTACCGGGTGGTTAATGGCTGTCAATCAAGTCTACATGTGCCCTGAAACACACATCTGCAATAACATTGATGGGGAGAAGAGAGAACCAGTAGGCTTCTGACACCAAGGAACCAGAAATGTTGCCCTTATTGGTGAGACAGATTTCATATCTGTTCAGAGCAGCAACCAACAGTTCTGTCATTCAGATTTTATCATCAGTCCTTTGTTTATGTAACAAAACCCCCCAAATCAACATCAATAATGTGCCTTCTTCACCCATTCAGTACCAAAAAGCTTTGTTTTTTTCCAAATTGTTTCCACTTGTATTTACAGAAGTCAAATCAAGAGGCTCACTGTGGGTTACCAACATCCTTCAGACATTTACATAAACCCCGCCTACCTACCATCATTATTTTTAAACAGGTATTTATTCCTCTTATTGTGCCACATGGTACCTTCACAGCTATAAAGGCTATCATTTGATCTTCTGCCGGGTCAAAGAGCAGACAGTTGGGACACAATAGAAGATTTGGGGAGAGTCAATTGTCTTTGTAAGTCCCAGCAGAAAAAATTATGTATGACTAATTGGGACGATGCACAGTTGGGAGACCAAAAAACAAACAAACATGTGCTGGAACCAAGGCCCTGAGCTGGCCTGGTGTTTGGCTTTGCAAAGTGTAAAATGGGCTGCTGTATTAAAAAATACTAGTTTGGTTTATTTACAGAAACTCTACATGTGAAAGTTTTGCGCCTTTCTACCCTATTCTTTTAATGCATATCAAATGTGCATTAATTTACTTAATTTAAAAACTAAAATATTATTTTGCAAACTGCACTTATTTTTTTGGGACATCTCAGACTTGTCTATATAATAATAGAAAACAATTAAAAAAGAAATAATGCCCTCTGCTGCCTGAAAAGTTTTAAGACAATGGGGTGTGAGGTGTTTTTATCCCATAATTATGGAATGGTTTTACTAGCGTAGCCCACATGAAATCAAATTGGCATGTGGATGAAGTGAAACAAGTCTGACAGACACTCATGATAGAAAGAATAACATATGTTAAAGAAATTAGTAATAACGAGTAGTTAGTCTTTTGCGAGGCTCATTGTTTGCAACAGGCTTAATTATAAATGACTCATGAATAAAATGAATCATTGTGCTCTATGGCAGGATAATTATGAACTAATCATTAACTAAAGATTCACTAATGTAGTGTCTCTCACTTTGATCTCTAGTAATTAGTTATTTTGTATTACATACTCACTGTCTATGACGTATAGGTCGATAATGAAAATATAATATTGATTATTGATTCTTTATCAAGTTCCCTCTTGATTGTTGATAGAGCTCATTGTGATTATTCAGCAGTTTGAACCCAGTGTATAAATAGTGACTCAGGTGTGTAAATGCTCCACTTACATGATTCTGACTATGACTTAAAGCTGGCAAACAACCATGCAAGCATTTATATTTGGATCTTATACCATTCTGATGTACAGAACATTTTAGACCCCTCTTTAACAGTTATTAGGGAAGTACTTTTGAATGATGCATCAAACTGTTCCAGATGAATTCTGTACTTGTTCTTTATTTTCATTTCATTTCATTTCATTTTTATTTATTTCACACTTGGTACTACAAACAAAACAACCACATCTTCTATCATTAACTACATTGTTACAATATTATTGTGTTATTGGATTATCTTGAAATATATCATAGTATTTTTGCATTATTAGCTGTCTGACGCTGCCCACAGCTTCATTTAAAACGTGAAATCTAGTGAAACACTCTTTCAAAGGTCTTTATGTCTGCTGATGTGTTACAACAGAACTATTGAGCTGTGCTGGCATCAAGTAGCTGGCAGACAGAAATGACTGCGGTAGTGTTTAACTTTCCTTTCTGTTTCATCATCAATTTTAACCTTAACAAAGAGTTTCAAGCAATGAGCACCTGCAAAGTTAAAACCTTCTTAATGTTCTCTCACACTCTATAAACCCAGTTTCTCTCCTCTGCTCCTTTCTCATTAGGTTCTGATTTTCTTCCACTCTCTTCCTTCGTCTCCTTCTCTGTCTAATGACGCAGTAAAAGCAGAGCTTGTCTAATTTATTTTGGAAATTGAGGTGGTCCATGTACTCCTTACCAGAAATATTACCCCTTGATTGTAAAAGTTAATTTACCAAAAACGCATGAGGTCAAAATATGGACGCATTAACTGCTGTTTTGAACTACAGCCAAAACCATTGGGAAATATATTATCTCGGTCCTGAGAAACAGGTCTACCATAAAGACGGCAAAGCACTTGCTCTAATTCACAGATACAGACAAAATGAACGTGCAGTATGAAGTAGTTAAAAGGGAGTTCATTCATCTCAACTCACTGCATAATTTCCACACAACTCCATAGGAAGCAGTCACATAAATATGACAGAAAACTGCTGCTGAAAAGCCATTAAAAGACTGTAACTTTTACAGAAATAAAACTAAGATGTGAAATTAAGCTCCAGGATTTTAATGTACTGAAAATAAATTACAGTCAGAGGTGGGTAAATGTTTATTTCTGCTACCGTAAGCAATCTTTGTGGTATAAAGAAGAGCTTAATAGTTGGACTGTAATGAAGGCCACAAGCTGAAATGAATCAGAATCAGAATCAGAATACTTTATTGATCCCTGGGGGAAATTATTTTTTGTTACAGTGCTCCATTATAAACCAACATTAAGACAAGACAGACAATACACTAACTAAGAATAGTACAATATATACATATATATACATACATACATACATACATAAGTCACTCATAAATAAATAGCTGAAAAAGAAAGAAAAAGAAACATGTGTAGTTGTAGCAGCAAACAGTGTGTAAATGAGCTGGGCAAACAATAAAGTTACATACTTTAAGACAAGCCTTAACCCTTCAGACTGTATGCTCTTCTCTCTGAACCTTTGAGATATGTGAAAATATGCCAGAAAACTCTTAAACATTTATTTGCTGTGTCAATTATTTTTTACATTTACTCATCAGGGGCTCGGACACATTGATACTCTTAAATGTTTAGTGAAACTTTCAATTTTCTATGGACCTAAAATTTCCTATCACTAATTTGATATTAACTGGAACAGACTTATAAAATGATCTTTTCATCGTCTGAAAAAAGGGTGTTTGATTATGTAGTTTTGCTGCTTTTCCTGCCTTGTTTAAAAGCAACATGACTGCCAGAGAAGAGGTCAGGTGACCATTTCACGTATGAGCTTTGCTGTTTTCTGGAAGTGTATTATTACCTCACTCAACGTCTTTATAAACACAGTTTTAACAGAATTTAATAAATCGTCACAAACATCTAAGTGTTAATAGAATACACAAATCTGTCGCATCATAAAAAGTACTGTAATCATTTTAACACTTTATTTGTTTTGTAATTTAGAATCTTTGGCTAAAATTGTGTGATATATTAAAGCAAATAGTTGTTTTCCCAGGTTGATGTGGGATCAACATCACCTAGAAGGGGCTGTGTAGTAAAGGTGCACTGGCTATAACTACAGAAAATATAAAAATAACGTTTAGACTCTTTGTTTAATTAACATTGTCACCACTTCAAAAATGAAACAAAACAAAACACAAGCAAAAAGTAGACTTTTAGCTGTCTACCATGTCGACAGGAATAAACCAGTCATATCTAAGTAGGCCTGTAACTGGGAGCCACCATCCGAACGTGGCAATGTCCTCACAAATAAAGACGGTATTATCTGAATGAATCTCCAGTGAAATAGGTCTGTACTGCTATTTGACTTGATTGTGCTTCACTTATATGTGCAACAAAACCTTTTCTGTGAACCACAACATGCTCCAGTTTTTTTCGTAATTGCTAAACATCTGTCCTTTCTGCTGCATATT